CAATTTAACAAGGCCCTATACATATAGCCATTCCCTGTCTCAAAGGAAAACAAACAACAACAACAACAACAAAAGGCTAGGTAACTGAAGGGTACAGTGCCCCAGAGTTCAATTTTCAGTACCAAAATTATACACCCTTGCCAGGCACCAAGGCAGACGACTGTAATCCCAGCATCTCCGGAGGCTAAAGCAGGAGGATGAAAGCCAGCCTCAGCAACCATAAGGCACTAAGCAACTCAGTGAGACTCTGTCTCTAAATAAAATACAAAATAGAACTGCGGATGTGGCTCAGTGGTTGAATTCAATCCCTGGTACCCCGCAAAAAAAATTATTAAGCCACTGGGATTATAGGCATGTACCACAAAATTATACACTCTTTTTTTTTTTTTTCCTTTGGTACAAGGGATTCAACCCAAGGGCATTTAAACACTGACCCACATCCCCAGCCCTTTTTGTTTTTAATTAAAAAACCTGTGATGTTCCTATCTCAGCTCCCCAGTCAATGGGATTACAGGCTGGTGCCACTGGGCCCAACAAATCATAGACTTGTAAACCTAGTAATCCCACTCTTGGGTTTATGCATGAATAATTTCATTAAAGTATCATAAAATGATTTAAAAAATGAAAGTTAAAAATTTCTCAAGAAACCGAGCATGGTGGTTCACACATGTAATCCCAGTGGCTTGGGAGGCTGAGGCAGGAGGATCATGAGTTCAAAGCCAGTCTCAGCAATTTAGCAAGTCCCTAAGCAACTCAGCAAGACCCTGTCTCTAAATAAAATATAAAAAAGGTCTGGTGATGTGACTCACTGGTTAAGTACCCCTGGGATCCATAGCCAGTACCCACCCACCCCTCAAAAAAAACAGGTCTCAAGAAGGGAACAGCTAAATTACAAATGGTATACCAACAAAGTGAAAGCAGTGCTATATTATCATTGCAAAGCATATATACACAAATTCCATGAAAAATTAAAATCTAGGTTCTGGAGTTGTGGCTCAGCAGTAGAGCACTCGCCTAGCACGTGCAAGGCCCTGTGTTCGATCTTCAGCACCATATAAAAATAAATAAATAAAATAAAGGTATTGTGTCCAACTAAAAAAAAAAAATATATATATATATATATTATATTATATATAATCTAGCAGGGTGCTATAATACCAGCTATTTGGGAGACTTGAGGCACAGAAATTGTAAATTTGAAGCCACTCTGAGCTACTTGGCAATCCTTTCTCAAAATAAAAATAAAAATTTTAAGAAGGGCTAGGCATGTAGCTCAATAGTAGAATACTTGCCCAACATGTGCAAGGCACTTGAGTTCTAACCCTAATACTGAGGGAGAAAAAAATYGAAGTCAGTTATTACTACTTAAGAGTAAAAAGAAGGCAGGGGTTGTAGCTCAGTGGTAGAATGCTTGCCTAGCACACGTGAGGCACTGGGTTCTATCCTCAKCACCACATAAAAATAAAAGATACTGTGTGTCCACCTACAACTAAAAATTAAAATTAAAAAAAAGAGTAAAAAGAACCTGGATTCCTTTTTCATCATTTTAGCTCTTATCTTCTTTTAGAAGAAAAATCCAAAAAATAAATGTCTAGTTTTCATTTTGTAGGATTACTCAAAATTATCTGTTGATAAGTATTCTATATACACAAGACCACTAAAATTTCAGAAATGAAACAAAAAATTAGAGTTGAAATCATAAGTCCCTGGGTGCAGTGGTGCACACCTGTAATCCCAGCGATTCAGGAGGCTGAGGCAGGAGGATCAAAAGTTCAAATCTAGTCTCAGTGACTTAGAGAGGCCCTAAGCAATAAAAGCAAGACCTTATTTCAAAATAAAGGGCTAAGGATGTGGCTCCTTAAGGATTAAGCACCCTTAGGCTAGTCTTGAGCTTGGAATCCTCCTGTCTCASTCTCTTGAGTTCTTGGGATTATAGGCAAGCACATGTGAGGCACTGGTTCAATCCTACCACTGAGCCACAACTCCAGAACCTAGATTTTAATTTTTTATGGAATTTCTGTATATATGCTTGGCAATGATAATACAGCACTGCTTTCACTCTGTTGGTATACCATTTTAATTTAGCTGTTCCCTTCTAGAGATCTTTTTTTTGCAGGGGGGGATGGAAGGGGCAGGCTATGTAACACAGGGGTACCTAACCAGCAAGAATCAAAGCAGCTGTCAGGTAAGTCCACAGGGCATTTACTATCTACATAACTATATAGCAAAAACTATCTACATAGCAAACTTAAAAGATATAAATTGCTTACCTTGATAATACTGCTAAAACTCCAAGGAAGGACCAAGCCAAGTTAAAAAGTGAACTTTCATTTTAGATAGAAAAGATTTAAAAGCAAGCCAAGGCTTCTACAAAACAAAGAATCACAAATCTATTCTTGAGTATGTACAGTCTTAGCCTTCTAACATTGACCTTTCCAATTCCTAGAACTACACCTCCCTTGGATCAAACAATATCACAAGAAAAGAGAGAAGTGCAAACATCTTCAGTCACAACAAATTATTGGCTGCCTATTGGGATCTAATCACAGCTCAATATTGATGAGGACTTTGACTTTCCTTAATATAGAGATAAAGCTCTAAAGACAAATTTAAAACATGAAATTAGCTGCCAGTCGTGGTAGTGCATGCCTATAATCCTAGGAACTCAGGAGKCAGGAGGATTCCAAGCTCAAGACTAGCCTCAGCAACATAACAAGGCCCAAAGCAATTTAATGATATCTTGTCTCAAAATAAAAAATTTTGAAAAAAGGGTTGGGGTATGATATAGCCCATTGGTAAAGTGCCCTTGGGTTTAATCCCCATTACCAAAAAAGAAAGAAATATTAAGAGTTGCTTAAAGAAAGAAATTTAAATAAGATTGCTTAGATGGGAAGGCTTTGTATAGTCTTATTCAGCCTTCCCTGATAATCTGCTTTCTTCTTTAAATAAATTGCTCAGGTTTTGAACAACCTTGTCTTCATTAGTTTCTATTAGCACACCATTCTTAAACTCCCTTAGCATAGTTATTTACAAGCTGTCCTAGGATCTAGACTCCTTCAAGTGAGGATTGAAATTAAAATAAAACCAATATGTGTGTTTTATTATAAAATCACAATAATTTCTTGTAATCATTTGCTTTACTGATTAATTTGAAATCAACAATTATACATATAAACTTAAACAATGCCAAAATAGTTTAGTAAGCAGCAGAAAAGTGATAATGGCTAATACAAAGAAACACCTTATTAAGACATCCTTGATCTATATAGTTAAAGAACATTATGACTAGAAGTTGCTCTAATTATATCCTAATTCTGCTGAAAGTCAGGCTGAACATAAAGAAAAAAGCAACAACAACAACAAAATTTTATCTGGCTCAAACCTTTCAATCTACAACAAGCTATTTTCCTTATTCAATATCTCCTTCTGCCACAATTTGTAAGTTAAAAAGCATAGACAGTTCTGCTTTGTTTTTTGTTTTAGCATTCAATACGAGCAGTTGTGCATCATCAAAAAAAAAAATCAAGGTAAGTTCTTGAGAAATCCCCACCAGGAACCAGCTCAGAAACCAGATGATGCCTAGGTTTCATTTCAGGAGGAAAGAGTTTCTCTTTCTTATCACTATGGGCATTAAAAACACAATTGAAGACTTAACATTCAAAATTAAGCCAGTCCTTCACTAACAGCTGTGGAACCATGAAATGAAAATGATTAAGGTTGGACTTCCTCCCCTATTTTTTTAAGCAGCAAAACTTTTATAAAAAGAGTTAAGGGCTGAGATTGTGGCTCAGTGGTAGAGTGCTTGCCTAGCACCTGCAAGGCTCTGGGATTCAATCCTCAGCACCATATAAATAAATAAAGAAATAAATTGATAGATAAATAAATTGATAAATAAATAAATAAAAGTATTGTGTCCAACGACAACTTAAAAATAAATATTAAAAAAAAAGGGTTAAGTCTGAGCTGTTCTGGTTGAACTGTTGTCACTCAATGTACAGCAAGTTTCAAGTACTTAAAACCTTGCTCCTAGTTACTAGAGTGACTCAAGGAAATCCTGGCATCATACTTTGAAACACACTAATCTACTCCAAATATTTTATTTACATAATTTTTTTGGGGGGGAGGGTACCAGGGACTGAACCTAGGGGCCCTTAACCATCRAGCCATATCCCCAGCCCTTTTTATTTTTTGAGACAGAATCTCTCTAAATTGCCTAGGTTCTTGCTTAGTTGCTRTGACCTTCCTACCTTAGCCACTGAAGCTGCTGGGATTACAGGCATGCACCACCACACCCACTATATAATATTTTTCAGACATACAAAAAATAAGTTCTCAGCCAGGCATGGTACATACCTGTAATGCCAAGTTAGGGAGATTGAAGCAGGAAGATGACAAGTTCAAAGCCATCAAGTTCAGTCAGCCTCAGCAACTTGGTGAGGCCCTGAATAATTTAGTGAGACCCTGTCTCAAAATAAAATATTTTTAAAAAGGGTTGGGGATGAGGTTCAGTGGTTGAGCACCTCTGGGTTCAATCCCTGGTACCAGGGGGGAAAAAAAGGCAGGGCTGGGGATCTAGGGATGTAGCTCAGTGGTAAAGTGCCCCTTTGTTAAATCTCCAGTAGGAAAAAAAAGAAAGCTCTGATCCCATTTTACTTGCACAGTATACCATACAACTCCAATTTTAACCTACCAATAAATAAGCCAATTTTTATAGAAGCTGGTTTGTCCTCATTTCAATAACATTTTTTAGATTTAATCTCTTACCAGTTGTCACATAGTCGAGTRTCCTGGTCATCCAGAAATTCAGCCATCTTTAGCTCTTCCTGAAAACTACAAAGTAAAAAAATATGAACTTTCTATTTCATTTCTGCTTTAAGGATGACATGCAAAATAAATAAAACTAAGCTAGCATAAAGAAAATGGGATCAAAACCAGTGCATTGAGGCATTCTGATAACAAACACTCTTGGGATTTTTCTTTTTATTATTTTTAAATTTTCATTTTATAATAATTTGAGCTACAAAAACAGTTGCAATAAAACAGTATGAAAAACTCCCTTAGGCACCTCTCCCAATTTCCCCAAAAGTTAACATCACAAATGACCATTGTAAAATTCTCAGATATAGAGTGGGTGAAGTAGCGCAAGCCTGTAATACCAGTGGCTCGGGAAGCTGAGGAAGGAGGATTTAGAGTTCAAAGACAGCCTTGGCAAAAGCAAGACGCTAAGCAAAAAAAAAAATACAAAACAGGGCTAAAGATGTGGCTCAGTGGTTGACTGCCCCTGGGTTCAATCCCCAGTACCCTCCCCCCAAAATAATTTTTCTCAGATATAGATAATTAACTCTACAGATACTAGTAACTAATCTATTGATCTTTTTCAAATTACAACACAACTACCAATGCCCCTTTTCTAGCTCAATATGCATAATGCATTTAGTTGTTGTTATTTCTCCTGTCTTTTGTGATCCTCGATGCTACTACAGTTTTAAAGATCTTTCATGACCTTGTTCAACTATACTAACAGTAGTTACTGCTTAATTATCTTGTAGGAAGTCGTTCAGTTTTGGTTTGACTGATTTTTCTTTTCAGGATTAAATTCATTTTTGGCAAAATACCATATAAGTGACATTATGCTCATCTTGGTGCATTATATCAGAAGACACATGATGTCAACAGCTGTATTATTATTGGTGACGTTAACTCTGAGCATTTAGTTGAGAGGGTGTGTGCCAGGTTTCTTCACTATAAAATTTTTCCTTCTTCTTAAACAAGATGTCAATTAAGAAAGCAAAGAGCTGTCAACTTTACTACCAATATTTATGTTGTATTATTCCTTTCCATGATACACACAAAAAAATGGTCTTAAATACTAACCTTTAATAAGGCTCCCCAACAGGTTTGGCRTTATCAAACTGTCAGTTTTAAAAACATTTTTTGTTGTTGTTACAACATGTTACAACCCACTGTGCCCTGGCACTAAGAATATATTACAAGTTAAAAAAAATAGAGAGAGAGAGCTGGGGATATGGGTCAAGCAGTAACGTGCTCGCCTGGCATGYGCAGAGCGCTGGGTTCAATCCTCAGCACCACATAGAAATGAAATAAAGATGTTGTGTCCACCGAAAACTGAAAAATAAATATTTAAAAATTCTCTCTCTCTCTCTCTCTCTAAAAAAAAAAAAATATAGCATCTGACTTAGAACAATTTAGTGACCAATAAAAACAATAAACAACAGCAAAAAATAAACCTAACTTAAGGTGAGGATCTTAAGGAAAAGTACATAGGCAAAAAGGAATAGGGTGTCTGTGGGGTGTGGCAGTGCATGCTTGTAATCCCAGCAGCTGGGGAGATTAAGRCAGGAGAACTGAAGAGTTCAAAGCCAGCCTCAGCAACTTAGCCAGGCCCTAARAAACTTGGGGAGACACTGTCTCAAAAAATAACAAGGGGTGGCATATGCTCAGTGGTTAAGCGCTCCTGAGTTCAATGTTCCARGGAGAAGACTTTTAAACTAAGACCTGAAGTGCAAAGAGCCAGCCAGGCATAGACAAACAAAGGGATAGAATGGAAATAGGGGAAAACCCCTCCAGTCACTGGGAAGAGCAAAAGGCCTGAGGAAATGAAAGAGAAAGTAAACGGAGATCTGGAAGAGCATAATGAAAAAAAGGGATGACTTGAGAAGGCCTTATTATATAGCACAGAAAGGACACTGGGTTATATTCCAAGAGCAATGATAAATCACTGAGGGTTTTTAACTAGGCAAGGAGTTGATTCAAGCCATCCTCCCCCATATGAAATGTCAACCAGGGACAGGCAGCACACAAGCACAAAAACAAAGTTTGTCCCTTGAAAGGGAAAGTCTGACAACTTTTTTCTCGGGGCTACCTGATTGATTCTAGGTGTAGTCTATTCTAGTCCACTAAATGGCCACTCTCAACTACKACGAAGAGCCTACGACGAAGGAACTGCCCAGTTTTCTAGCTGCAGGGGGACTGGAAGTGACCACAGGCAAGGCTTCCACCAGCCCCTCCAGACCCCCGTGTCTTCAGCCTATCTGGGCCTCAGATGCCTACGACAGACGATGACGGTAGCYCGAGGGTCTTCTTGAGGAGTAAAAAGGCACAGAAAAAGCCTTCAACCTCAGGAGAGAGGGCCATCTCTCGGGTTTCCAGAGCGGCCACCGCGGGCTCAGGGAGAGGAGAGGCGGCAGCCCCTTAAGTAAACATCAGTTGACATTCACCCTGCGTGCATTCGCTGCCGGACGCTCACACCAACCACCCTCCATCCTGACCCCAATCCTGGCAGGTGAAAGTCATCATCCCATTTCACAGAAGCGGAAAGCGGAAGTCCGAAGGCAGTTACCCGCCGCTTAGCGGGTCGGAGCGGGGGCTCGAACCCGGGTCGCTCGGCCCAGGGGCCTCACTGGGCCTCCCGCGACCCCGGACGCCAGCGGCTCGAGGCACGGGCACCAAGCCCAGGCCGGCGCCGGGCCCAGCTCCGCCCCGGGCGCGGCGGCCACGGCCGCGAGGCGGACGACGCCCGCTACTCGGCGCCCCCGGCCCAGGCCGCCAAGGGGGCGGCGCCTCCCGGGGCTGCCAAGGCTCCGGGTCCCCGAGGAGAAAGCGCGGCCTCCTTTCACGGTCTGAGGAGACGACGCCGCCCCGCCACCTTCCCGCAGCCGCCACCCCGGCCTAGCGGCCCCTCGCCCACACGCCCCTCCCTCAGACTCCGGCCTCCGGCCGCAAAGGAGACCGCGAGAGCGCCGCAAGCGCGGCCGCCGCTTCGCTTCACCTGGGAGGAGTACAGGAACGTCGAGCTGTCGAGACAGCCACAGACTCGGAGCCACCTCACTCAGTCCAAGCACTGAACAACGGCCCCGAGAACTGCCTCAGCGCCCCCGACCGCCGCAGAATAGCGCGCTCATTGGCCAGGGGCGGCCCCAGATCTAGGCCCATTGGATAGCATCATTGTCGCTCTCAGGGGCCCGCCCTCCGAGCTCCGATTGGCTCCTCAGTGCTCTGTGGGGGCGTGTCCTAGAAATCCCAGCCCCTGCACATCTGGAATGAGAGGCTGAGCTGAGCTGTGAACCTGAAGCTGGATCTAGCAACTGCTGCTGACACAGATTCATGTTTGCATGAATARTACTGTGCAAGCATTACTAACATGCCTAATATATTAAAATAATTAATGACATTTGTTCTCTTGTCATGAGCCATTAATACTTATTAGTCATTCTTGTTGTCATTATAATGCCCTTGTACAAGACTTGTGCAAGATCCAGGACCATATTTAAGCACTTTGCTTTTTGCAGTGGAAGAATAAACGCCTGGGATGCGGGTTTGAGAGCCAGTATTTCTGCTTGCAGACGAAATGGATTCTCTGAGCTCCTCTTCCCTCCAGAGTAAGAGAATTCTTTCATAACTGAGCCTGTAATACAAACAACATAGCTATCCAGAATTTCGGTTATATTGAAGATTACAATTGCAAAATGTTCGTAAGATAGTCCTAAGCAGGAAAATCAGGTTTTGAAGCAATACTTATAACAAGGTAGACTAGTTAATTTAAATATACGGTATTAGAGGGGGTGTAGGTCAGTGGAAGAACACTTGTCTAGCACATTCAAGACTCTGGGTTGGATCCCTAGCACTAGTTTAAAAAGAAAAAGAAAAAGAAATACCATAAATATTCAGTATATTCCATGTAATTTCAAACATTTCAAGGGAAAAAAAAAAAAAAAAAAACAAGGCACGGTGGTTCACGCCTGCGGTTCCAGGAACTGAGGAGACTGAGGCTAGAGAATCGTAAATTCTCAACAATTTAGCCAGAACTTGTATCAAAATTTAAAAGGGGGGTGAGGGGAGTAGGGATGGTAGCTCAGTGATAAAGTGCCCCTGCTGTCAATCCCTATTACAGCAATAAATAAATAAGTAAATAAGTAAGTAATAAATAAATAAGTCAAAACAGGCAAAGATGTTGCCGAAAGCTCCGTTCTTGTTTCCTATGCCAATCCAATAACAGGCTTTGAGAAAAAGGAAAAATCAGGTTTATTGCTTTGCTAGCAAAGGAGATACACAGGGGACTCCTACCCCAAAGGTTGTGATTCTGCCCATCAGCAGGAACTGGGGGGCTTTTTAAAAAATATTTTTTAAGTGGTCAATGGACCTTTATTTTATTTATTTACATGTCTGCTAAGGATTAAACCCAGGGCCTCACACTTGCTAGGTAAACTCTCTACTGCTGAGTCACAGCCCCAGCCTCAGGGGGCCTTTTAAAGAGGTGACTCACCAGCTACATTCCACTTGTTCTGTGTTCTCTAGTCATTTCTGACCTCTTCTGTATCATCCCCAAAGTCTGGATTACTTTGTTCCTATGGTGGGTGTGTACTCAGGGACTGATAACTCCGTTCAGAATGGGGAAGAAAGGTAATCCTATTCCTCTGAGATTAAGGAGGGGGAGAGATTAGGGAGGAGCAGAGAGAGAGAAAGAAAAAGAAACACGTTCATTTTAAAAATAAACTATAGTGGCAGAGCAGCAAGTGTTATATTCAAAGCAGAAAGTGGACCACTGTTACAAAACAAATATGAGGTGAGAGAAGTCAGGAACTGGTTTCATTCAAAGAGTACAGACTTCAAGGGGATATGAGAAGGATTTCCAGATATTCTATATCTCAGTGTGTAAAAAGTGATATACATATATTCATTAGTATATAAAAAAAAGAAAGACTGAGCCAAGCACAGTGGCACATGCCTGCAATCCCAGCAGCCCAGGAGGCTGAGTCAGGAGGATCCCGACTTCAAAGATAGCCTCAGCAATGGCAAGGTGCTAAGCAACTCTGTGAGACCTTGTCTCTAAAATACAAAATAGGGCTGTGGATGTGGCTCAGTGGCCAAGTACTCGGGATTTCAATCCCTGGTACCAAAAAAAGAAAAACTAGACAGATCAGACAAGTAAGGCAACATGAAGAATCTTTGTCTTCATATGTTCCCAAATGCTTTTCCATGTTTTTTGTTTGGTTTGATACCAGGGATTGAACTCAACATCACTTATCCGCTGAGGCGCATCTCCCAGCTCTTTTTATTATTTATTTATTTTGTTTTGTTTTGGTACTAGAGATTGAACTCAGGAGCACTTGACCGCTGAGCCACATCCCCAGCCCTATTTTGTATTTTATTTAGAGACGGTCTCACTGAGTTGCTTAGTGCTTCACCTTTGCTGAAGTAGCTTTGAACTCACCATTCTC